GGGGGGGTGGATGGATGGGTGGGTGGGTGGGTGGGTGGATGAATGGATGGATGGATGGATGGATGGATGGATGGATGGATGGATGGATGGATGGGTGGGTGGGTGGATAGATGGATGAATGGATAGATGGATGGATGGGTGGATGGATGGATGGATGGATGGATGGATGAGTAAATTAATAGATAGACTGATAGATGTGTGGATGATTGCATGGATGGATAGGTGGGTGGATGGATGGATTAATAGAGGATTGATAGATGTATGGTTAGTTGGATGGATGGATGGATGGATGGATGGACGGATTAATAGATTTATAGATATATGTATGTATGTATATGTATGTATGTATGTATGGATGGACAGATGGACGGATGAATGGATAGATGGATGGATGGATGGATAGATAGATGAGTGGGTAGATGGATGTATAGAGAGAGATTAAGCTCAGTCTCAGGATCCTACTGACTTAGGCTCAAAGTTCAACCAAGGCAATTTTCTGCATGTGTTCCAGTTTTCTCGTGTGCAAAATAGGGTCACAGCTGTACCTAATTCAGGCTCAATGTTACTTACTAATTTCAAAGTGGCTCTGAATGCCATTGAACTAACTCTGGGTAAAGGTTAACAGTCCCTGAGTGTTCTTCCCACTGGACATCGCTCAGAACGTAATGCTTCCCTTAGATCTAACTCTGTGAGATGGCCAACCAAAGACCATCACCCAAATAATCCCCTGTTTTGTTGAGTGGCTTACACTTTTCAGAGTGACTGTATGTACACTCGTCTCCTCTGAGTCTCCCCCATGTGAGTCAGGGCAGGATACTTCCTCGTGACGTCACAGGAGACGGCCGTAGGTGAACTGTGGACAAAGTGGGGGAGGTGCGCCCTGCCTGTTCTTGGCATACTCCGGATGGCGTTCTGACTTCCCTCTCCCCAGGCCACCCTGTCCCTCCTTGACACCCGAACACAAACGTCCTTTTACACACTTACTTCCCATTACCACCAAGTCCAAAATACACCAAGTCTCAGCTGTCCAAATATTTTTCAGGCCCTGGCTATAAAATGAATGGGAATTTGTTCAGATTCATCCCAAGCAAGATGACAGTGGCATTGATGGACAGGCTTTGGGGACAAAAGTAAGAACCTGGGGTCACCAAAGCCATAATGTGCTCAGCATTCTAGCCTTCGTGCTGAGGAAAATTTTAAATGCTTAAAAGAAAATAGCATTGTAAGTGCTTTGGTAAAAGAGGAGCCAGCAGCTTCTTTTTAAAAGTGGAAAACAGACAGGCGGTGGTGGCGCACGCCTTTAATCCCAGCACTCGGGAGGCAGAGCCAGGCGGATCTTTGTGAGTTCGAGGCCAGCCTGGTCTACAGAGCAAGATCCAGGAGAGGTGCAAAGCTACACAGAGAAACCCTGTCTCAAACAACAAAAAGTGGAAAATAGCGCAGTGCTGATTTTCACCAGCAGGTGGCACTGAAGTAATAAGGGCAAAGTAACTAAAGATCATTATGAAGGTCTTGGTGGTGGTGACAGTCCCATCCTACCCAGTTAAAGCTCTCAGAGGGTGCTACTGACTCACTCCAAGTCAGTAGTGCCCGAACCAGGTTAATCCAGGTCTTATCACTAAAGGACATACACGGACGTTTAACCTTTCAAAAATTCCCCGGCCTCGTTGAATGAAGAAAAAGATACCACTTCGTTTGAGTGATTTAGCAGTTCCAACCTCAGCAGGAGAGATCGATAGCCTTTAGGAGACAAAGGCTGTCCGTGCCCTCAAGTTCTCTGGGAAGGACGCAGGGTGGGATAGAGAAATAAGCCATCTTTGTGTTGTGAGGTCTGCCCACATGTTCACACTGCCTCGGAGCCCTTCCTGACCTTACAGCTGTCCCAAATAAGAACAGAGCTTATTGGATAAGAATCGCCGCTCTCCAGCACCCTATCCACAGCATGTCTGTGCTATGGAACCCAAGTGCTATGTTCCTTTGCTCTGGTTGAAGCACACAAGGAGAGGAAACTCAGAAACTGGTGGAGGGTGCCAGCTTTGGAAAATAATCCAAATAGATGGAATAGGTGTGATTAAAATGGTATTGGGTGCATATTGAATGGCCCAATGTAAGTATGCATGGGTGGGTGGGTGGAAAGACAGATAAATAACTTGAATGATGGGAAAATTTTTAGCTCAAAATACTTCAGATGGCTGCAAGGGAAATCATTCCATGTTCTCAGAAATAAGACCATGTTAACATACAGTGCTTTGTCTGGGTAGGTAGTAACTCGGTCTCTAGAAGCATTCAAGTACCAACCAGCCACTAACGCAACTGGGGGTGTTTTTGACTACATGAGATTTTGGGGAATCCCGGGATTCCTTTCAGTCTGTGCCTCTTAGTGCAGAGAGGATGAAGCACATGGCTTTGGTTTTAAGAGCTCCACGTGGGAGGAACGACCATGACCAGGATTCCATGATGCTTCCTCCAGAATCCTGGTCCCATCTTCCACTGTGGAACCCTCTGCCTGGGGCGACTGGGAAGCAACATCCTAGCAGTTCAACCTGAATCCGTATCCTGGTTCGGTTTTAGTAAGTTTGTTTCTTTTTCTCAAAATTCAGGAGAGATGGACCTGTGGAGGCCTGGACCAGTCCTTTTGGATTCAGGTAAGTATCCAGATGACCTCCCAAGCCCAACCAGAAGGAGATGCACAGCATTGGAGAACAAGGGTCCAACTGTTAGCTCAGGTTGTCGAGCTGTCAAAAGGCTTCCTCCTGGGACCTTCAGGTCCACGCTTGGGCGCTTACAAATTTTCCTAGGGATGCCTGGGGCAATATTGGTTCTTCAAAAGGGAGAGAGAGCCGGGCGGCAGTGGCGGCGCATGCCTTTGATCCCAGCACTCGGGAGGCAGAGCCAGGCAGATCTCCATGAGTTCGAGGCCAGCCTGGGCTACCGAGTGAGTTCCAGGAAAGGCGCAAAGCTACACAGAGAGACCCTGTCTCGAAGAAAAAAAAAAGGGAGAGAGAAACAGAGGCTGTAGGAAGTGAGTTCACTGTGAAATGGGTTTAGACCCTCATTTCTTCTGGCAGCATGGACAATAGTTCCCTATTTCAGTCTCCTTTGAAAGTGGTGTTCAGGAGGGCTGCCTGGTGGTGGTGCACGCTGTTAGTCCCAGCACTCAGGATGCTGAGGCAGGTGAATCTCTGTGAGTTTGAGGCCAAGATGGTCTACATAGTGAGCTCCGAGCCAGCCAAGGCTCCATAGTGAGACCCTGTCCACAAAACAAACAAACTAAAAAAGAAAGTTAAAAGAAAATGGTCTGAGGTTTTTCCATTCCCATCTGTGTGTGTGTGTGTGTGTGTGTGTGTGTGTGTGTGTGTGTGTGTGTGTGTGTGTATCGTGCACTGTTTACCACATTAACTTTTTGACCCCCTGACAAAGTGTTGCTGTTCTTGGGAGGAAGCAGGATTTTACTGACCAAGGGAGACAGAGCTAGGAAGGTCAACCCTGTGAACTTACCCCCTCCACTCACCCCCCTCCACCCCACACACAATGTAGAGCTTTGAGATGTGCCCCTGGGAGGCATCTGGCTGAGAAATACAGTGGAATACCCAAAACAAAATTTCCAAACGGTGTGAGGAAGTGGGGCAAGCTGGCTGACCTTTAATAAGAAGATGAAATCACATGCTTTGCAAACTGAGGATGGAAAAAAAAAAAAACAAGGAGGAAGTTCTCTGCCGCCACTAAGAGCAAAGAGAGTCTGAACCCCCACACCTGCCTCCACAGCCGGAAACTTCCAGAACTGCTGGGCATCCTGAAAACTGGGAGACCTATTTCCTGCACATGTTTACAGCCTCTGGGAAAGCCAGTGGTCACAGCCATCCCAGGCATTTATTGTGTCCGTGCCTATTGCCACACTCTGGGTCCATGGCCCTAATGCAGACACCCCACCACACCTGCCCAGCTGAAGCCCACCTTCCATACAGCCCTTCCAAGCATGAACATCTTATACCTCTGCCTCTAGCCTAAAGGGCTGGGGAGGAGATGCTGTCTTCTCAGCCCTTCTGAGCCGCGCCCCGAGCTGGTACCCACAAAACCTTTTCTAGATTGCCCTGCACATGTCTAACTCATCTTTGCCCAGTGCCCATACCACCAAAATTTGGCCCAGGACCTACGTGTACTGAGCATAGCAAAGGTGTGGGGTGAGCCATTTCCTGACCTCAACATTCTTAGAATTTTAGAGATGATAATTTATACCGGCACATCTGCAAAAATTTCCCATAAATTAACCAGGACTTAGACAGAACGAGTTAAAATGGGAACAAGGACAAGGTCCTCTGAACATCCAACAGAGGACCCTTGGGCAGGCTGTCAGTACTTCGTTTTCTCAGGATGGGGCCAGTATGGAAAAGAGGGAGCTATAAGCCAAGCCCCAGCGCTGGGTATGAATGTGCACTCTGTCCCCTTCTCTGGGGGAAGGCCAGGTGTTCCTCTGCTTGGAGTCACAACAACTCTAACCTCTCTTTCCAGGATTTGTGCCAAAAGAAGAACTCAGCACACAGTCTTCGGAGCCAGTGTCCCAGGGAGATCCCAGTGAGTTAGCTGCAGCTGGGAACTCGGGATGCTTTTGAGTGCTCTCTCTCTCTCTCTCTCTCTCTCTCTCTCTCTCTCTCTCTCTCTCTCTCTCTCCTCTACCTACTCACTTCCATTCAGACCCACTTCTCTTCTCTCCCACCACAGATCTATTTATCTCCCATCTCCCGACACTTTGTTCTAAAGAGAATGGGGAGCTTCTGGAGAATTTAAAGTATATGCGCGGGGAAGAGAGGATGGAGGGGTTTTTACTGTCACCATGGCAACAGGGTGAAGAATTTCCCCCAGGGATGGAAGAGCAAGGGCGGGTGAGAAGAATTGACAGGCTGGTCAGCAGGGCCAGGGGTACCACGGAGGTAATAGAAGCCAGAAGTTCTTGGAGTTAGAACCAGAAATGAGGGAAATAGACAGATTTCAAGAAATATAGAAAAGGAAGCCTCTATAGGGTTGGGGTGGGGTATGAGACAAGACCATTAAAAATGACGTCAGCGGGACTCTAGGGACAACTTGGCTGGGAAAGGCACTTTTTGCAAAGCCTAATGACCTGGGCTCTATCCGTGATGGAAAGAGAAAAGCAACTCCTGTAAGTTATCTATTTGTGCCATGGCACGTGTGTGCTCTCCCCGCCCGTACACACACACACACACACACACACACACACACACACACACACACACACACAGAGTAAACACATAGATGTAATTTAAATTAAAAAAATGGCTTGTGCAGCTGGATCGATGGTACTGTGGTGAAGAACACAGGATGAAGCAGGCTTGGGGACAGGAGACTGTTGATGTCTGTCGTTTGCTACGAGAAACATTCAGTCCAACAGCAAGATCTGATACTTGGATGGGATGAGGCAGCCCAGTCAGAAATTCGCAGTTGGGGACGAGATGCCAGTAAGTATACCTATTCTGTCATTCTTCATCAAATTAAGAAGGAAGGAATGTTAAATGGATATTCAAATGCCTCAAGATTTAAAAAAAAAAAAAAGTTTAGAGTTGGAAGATTAGCCATGGTTCCAAGCAGAGACTGGATTATGAAGCTAACAAATGGGATGCAGATGAGACAGAAAACGAAGCAGAGGATGCATATATGGTGAGCGGCACTAGGCAGGGGAGAAGACACCCAGGAATATCACAAAGGAGGGAGCGGAGAAAGAAGAAACGCAGAGAAGTGTAGCGTCTTCCAACACGCCGAAAGAAAGCATTCTGCAAATCCCCCTAAAGCTGTGGCCGGCCAGCCACCAAAGTCTCAGCTCCGCTCTACGCAAGAGATGCCTGCGGATAGTTTTCAGACTAACAACGCCCATCTCTTGTCTAATACCTGTTGTGTCCGGACCTCCCTAGACCGTGCTACTCCCAGCATGGTCAGAGGACCCATAGCATCAGCCAGTTGCCCAGGGAACTTGGAACAAACGCAGAGACAGAGCCCCCCCCATCCCCACCCCCACCCCCAGACCTACAGCCAAAGCTAAGAGTGGCCCTTGAGAGCGGCTGGCAGGTGATTTTGTGGAAACTGCATAAGCACCTGCATGACCTGTGCATGCCTCTGATATTATCCAAAGATACAACATGTGGATCTGATGTATTATATAGCACAAAAGCATGAGTTCATCTCTAGAATTGCACCATAAGGCGCTATACTGCAGAATTAAGAAAACCGGTGCGTTAATTCCTGCAGACATTACATCCAATCTTCCTCCCTCACCCTGAACCTTTCCTGTGACCATAAATCAGACAGTAATACTGAGCACCTCATGACTTCCATAGAAGAGACCCGCTGGGTCTTAGCCTGTATATACCTCGAGGTAGAAGCGTAGTCGTTAAGATATCCTGGGCGTTTGGAGGCAGGGGCTTTTGCTTCAGTAACAGAGCGACTGCCTGGGACGTGCAGCAAGGCCCTGTGTTTGGTTCTAGTGATGATTCAATGATTTTTTAAAGAATCCTGGGAGGGCTAACAAAGGTGACTTCTGCATCAGCTGTTAGCCATCAGGCCAGAGGTCCAAGAGATCTAGTTGGACAAATTGCCCGCTGTAAAAATGAACACGTTGTTCCCGAACACAGATCAAGATGTGAGAAATGAGCAAGAACTGTCCTCGAGGAACCAAAACAGATGCTACCAAATCCATGTACTGTTTTCATTGGAAATAAGTGAACGGTGGAAACCCCATCATTCCCTCCGAGAATCGATGTTCCTCTGTCTTTTTTTTTTTTTTTTTTTTTTTGGTTTTTCGAGACAGGGTTTCTCTGTGTAGCTTTGTGCCTTCCTGGAACTCACTTGGTAGCCCAGGCTGGCCTCGAACTCACAGAGATCCGCCTGGCTCTGCCTCCCGAGTGCTGGGATTAAAGGCGTGCGCCACCACCGCCCGGCGTTCCTCTGTCTTAAAAGGCAATATTGAACTAATCTGCTGGCGTCTGGAAGGAAAACCTTTGTTCGGGAGTGCTTCTCGAACTTGGGGGTCATCTTTAAAGGCAAATCTGATTCTGTGCCTTTGAGTGGATCCCTGGAGTCCGAATCTCCTGCAAACTGTGTTAGTGGGCCGAAAGCCCTGAAGAACATTACTGCCACCTGCTGGTGATCACTCACATTGCAAGGCAAGACCTAGAAACACACCCGTTGGCCATTTGGGAGAGACCTCATAGCAATTCTGCCCGTCTTCTGCTTCATCCCCGTCTTCCGCGGAGTCTTTAAACCACCTTTGGATTGCGTTGTTTCCTTCCGTCTTCATCTCAAAGGCTGTGCTTGGATTATGGGCAGCATGGGAGAACGCCAGCTGGATAGGGAAGCCTGGAAGGCACTTGCAGACTTGGGGCAAAAAGCTGTGAGCTTGGCTGAAGAGTTACGACACGAAAGAGGTGGAGCAGAGGCAGGCAAGCCTCCCTCCGGCCTCCTCCAAACCTTTGCCTCTGGCTTCAACAGCTGTTTCAGCACATTTCTCAGATTCAACCGACTCGATGTCATCATCGCTCATCGATAATTATTGACAACCAATGTTGCTTCAGACTTTGTTAGCTCACCAGCAATTGCTATTTTCAACAGCCCTTGCTTACCTTTATAGCGCCTTTGCTAATGGTGGGCAGGCAATGCCGGCCTCAAAGAAGCCACGCGTTCATTGCGGAGAACATGGCTATGAGGACCATTAGGAACAGGCGGGTTTGTCTGTGCAGTTCCTCCCCCAACCACAAGGGGGTGCTGGCCCCAGGTTGTTCTTGGATGCTCCAGATTAAAATTCTTTATTCTTCTGGTTCTCTGTAGAAGTGTTTTTTTTTTTAATACTCTTGTCTCCCCAAATGCAATCATTCAATACTCCATTCTTCATTTTTTTTTATTAATCTTAAGGCGATACAGACTCCCAATAAAGGCCTCAACTCAGCATCGAAGTCAGTCTTATACTGAGTCAATACCACTGCAAGGAGATAACAAGTGTTGATTTGTTAGCCTGGGGAGCACTGGGAGGTTGAAATTAGCCCCGCCATCCCTTTCCCCTTTCTCACAACCGTCTTGAACAGCAGATCTTCTTCACCCATGGTTTTCTTTTCTACCGTTTCGATTACCCGCCATCAACCACGATCTGAAACTATTAAATGGAAAATTCCAGAAATAAATAACCCCAAGTTTTTAATACAGTATGTTGTAATTATTCTGATTTGTTATTAGTTATTGTTAGTCTATTAGTGTGTGTAACTTATGAATTAAACTATATATATAGTTTATATATAAATGTCTGTGGTTTAATTATATTATATATTCATAATATATATTATTTATAGTTTAATTAATAAATTATATGTTTATATAAACTATATATAGTTTAATTCATAGCAGTGAATATATATCGCATAGATACTTCCAATATATAATGTATGATGTATATATAAGAACACAAAATGTATATATGGTTCGATTCTGCCTGGGGATTCAGGAACCTCTGTATTTCCTAGAACCCAGCCCTGGGGACAAGGGAACAGTGGTTTATTTGAAGAGGTCAGACAGTCTAACCCTGGACATCTTCCCTACTCTTCACAATAGAAACAGGGCAGGATCTAACCAAGTCATAAAACTATCTTATGAATGTATATGAATAATTTCTTCCATTGTTTCATCTAGGGAAGTGAGAAACATTCTGTCTATTCTTATTCTATAATTCCTGCTCCACCCCTTCCATTCTGGCCTTGTGTGTCCTTTTGAACCCCACATATTTTTACAAAGGATGGGAATAAAAGACCACAAGTTCTTGACACTTGGTAATGACAAATTCCCACATCTAGGAATCTGTATTTCTTGTGTGTGTGTGTGTGTGTGTGTGTGTGTGTGTGTGTGTGTGTGTGTGTGTGTGTGTGTGTTATGGGCTTAAGCACACACATATATATGTATAGGTGAATTCACCCATGTGCATGTGTGTGGAGGCCAGCAAATGATGTCATATGCCTGCTCTATCATTCTCCATCTGATTTCCTTAGAAAGGGAGACAGGGTCTCTCACTGAGCCTAGAAATTGCTATTTTGGCTAGACTGCCTGTGGTGGTATTGTGTTCTCCCAAATATCATGCACCCTAATAAATTTACCCGGGGTCAGAGAACAGACAGCCACTAGATATAGAGGCTAGAAAATGGTGGCACTCACGCTTTAATCCTAGTATTTCAGAGGCAGAGATCCATCTGTATCTCTGTGAGTTCAAGGCCACATTGGAAATGGCCAGGCATGGTGACACATGCCTTTAATCCCAGAAAGTGAGCCTTTAATCCAAGGGACTGGTGGTAGAAAGGAAAGATATATAAGGCATGAAGACCAGAAACTAGAGGCATTTGGCCTGGTTAAGCTTTTAGCTGGTTAAGCTTCAGGCTTTCAAGCAGCAATTCAGCTGAGAGCCATTGGGATGAGGACACAGAAGCCTCCAGTCTGAGGAAACAGGACCATCTGAGAAGTTAGTGAGGTGAAGTTATCTGTGGCTTGTTCTGTCTCTCTGACCCATCCAGCATTTCACACCAATAACTGGCCTCAGGTTTGATTTCATTAATAAGAACTTTTAAGATTCATGCTACAACCGGCTGTCTAGCCAGCTCCACAACCCTCCTGTTTCTATTCCGTTCACCACTCGGAGTCCAGGCATAGACACAGCCACATCTATGCTGTTAATTTGGATGTTGGGGATCCCAACTTGGTTCCTCACACATGCTCAGCAGCACCCTTACCCACACTGAGCCTTTTCCATGGCTTCTAGAAGTCTGCACTCTGTGGTCTGAGCCTCAGAATCCATCTTGAGGTTCTTCCCAAGCAATATTGGGTGTCACTGTCCTCTGAAGCCTACAGTGGTGGCTGATCCACAGAATTCTAAAGCAGGTGTAGAAACAAAAACACGCCCAAGTATCCAGGACCCTGGTACTCAGGGGAAATGTAGCCGGCATCTTCTGCCTCTTTTCACTTTCTTCTCATTGGACTCTCTGGGCATGTGGTGAAGGAAAACCACAAGATGGCTGGAAGGGAGGATTGAGAGACAAGATGCTTAGAAGGGAGCCCCCGAAGCCTTGGGTGGGAACAGCGAAAGAGACAAGCAAGATGCCTAGGTAGGCGCACTCAGAGCCGAACAGAATCACAGCCTCTTTTTCTATCCCTCAGACTGCAAAGTTGACTTGTCATTCCTAATGGATGGGAGCGCCAGCATCGGCAAGCGCCGCTTCCGGATCCAGAAGCAGTTCTTAGTGGACGTCGTCCAGGCTCTTGACGTTGGCCCTGCTGGTCCTCTCGTGGGCGTTGTTCAGTATGGGTAAGTGCAGCTAATGCTCTAAGCCTGGTTATCAAGGGGTACCGCACACCTAACTTCAAGCCACAAATATCAATGCGTCCTCAAGCGCTGGTTCATTCTCTTCTCTAATGCAAACGTAAATTTAAAAAAAAGCTGAAGCAATCCAGCTGCCACTGAAGAAATATGAGGAGCCTCCCCAGAGGGAAGAAAAAAGGCTACTAATTAATACACAATTGTGAGTAAATGGCATTTGCACTCATGATTGACTTAGAGGGTATTCCTTTGTAGGAATTAAGAGTGCTGGGTGCAAGTAACGAATAACCTAGTTGGGCTATCACCGGTTTCTTTATCTCCAGACAAAGAAAGCGAAGTCCCCTTTTAGCCTTGACTATGAAAACATGTGTTTGAGAGGCTGCAACCTGGGCTGCACTTATCTGAAGGTGAGGTGCCACCTGCCACAGTGGTTTAGGTGGTATGTTCTATTTCCTCCAAACAACCGTTCTCTCCTACGCTGTGCTGGTAAAGTCCACCAGGCGACAGAGAGCTCCATGGTAGATCGAGGGGCTCCCCCAGTCCCGAGCGCTGAGATGACTGGCCCCAATCCACCTGATGGTTTCATTAAGGGTAGGATTTAAAGGGCTGCCGCCGGGCAGTGGTGGTGCACGCCTTTAATCCCAGCACTCAGGAGACAGAGCCAGGCGGATCTCTGTCAGTTTGAGGCTAGCCTGGTCTACAGAGTGAGATCCAGGACAGGAACCAAAACTACACAGAGAAACCCCGTCTCGAAAAAACAAACAAACAAACAAACAAAAATTTTAAGGGGCCATAGCAACATCCCAAACTCAACATTCTTTTCTCTATTTGGAATAATAAGTCAATCTTAGTTTAGATATGGATGGGGTCCTCCCTACAACAGGTTACAGATATGACAGATCATAATCAAAAGAAAAAAACATGCATAAATCTCCTATTTGTAAGCACATTTCACACGGGTGGTCCGATCAACAAGTATTGGGGCAAGATCATGATCATGCTATCCACAAAGGGGCTTTGGGTACCCATGATGCTTTTCTTCCACACATACCTATAGTTCAGCCCATGGAATCAAAAAGCAACACAGAGCTCAGCACTCCTGCTTCAAAGTTTCACTGACTGTGTGGCCATTCCTTCTGAAAAATAGAAGCATTCCAATGTCCCAATACCTCCATGCGTTTCCTAAAGCATCCCGGGGGGCTACCTGAAGTAGCACATTGGTTATGGTTGTCATATGAAGGCATTAGCAGGTTCCACTTTGAGTTACTAGAAAAATAAGTGAAATGCTTTCTTTTTCAAATACCATATAGCATGTATATTTTTAGAACTAAATTCTAATACATTTATTTCTATCTTCTATTTCTGTCAGGAAAAAATTAGGAGTCAGTTATAAATAACCAGTTGCTGCAAATGCAGTGTCCTATGATCTATTGTGAGGTGTTGACTTGAAAATGGGGGGAAAAAAGAAAGTGGCTTTTTTGGTTATTGTTTTCTTGTTCTCAAAATGTCAACCCATTTTCATTTCTATGTTACTTTTTAAGATAGCGGATGCAGAGCGAGCCTTCCTATAAAGAGCAAGTATAAGTATTTAGTGCCAGATGTCCTAGTCAATTTTACTGGGGGATTCAAAGCTTGCTGCGTTATCTTGCATCAAAAGTAGCTGGTTTAAAAGCACGTGGGTACCTGGGTTTCTAGTGTGACATGAAAATAAGGTGATAAATACATCAAGGAAAAAGAAGAATGGCCCAAGAAGTTGTTGTGTGGTGATAAGAGCGAGGATGAGATAATAAATGTCGCAGGGAAGCAAAATCAACAGAAGCCCCTTCTTGCCTACTGTACCCGGGAGTGTGGCCTCAGGGTCCGTGTGTTGGCAACTCCACTCTCAGAGCCATGGTGATTTGGGGTGGGGACGGCCAGGGGTGCTTAGCAAAGGACTCGCGTGGTCGTAATCAAGGGATCAGGTTAATTATCAAGAAGGTGGGTTTGCTGTGAAACGACTTTGGTCCTTCTTGCCCTTGCTGTCTCAGGGTCTCTTAGGTTCCGCTCAGGGTCATCCATGGGATGACAGAGCACTTAACCCTCCCCAGCAATGGGATCTTCAACCTCCAGAAAGAGGAGAAATACAATTACTTTCCTAATAAAATACCCAATCTGTAGCATTAGGATAGAGGAACATAAAGCAAAGGACGACGGCCCCTCCCCCAATTTTCTCCTCCGTGTCCCTCACAGGACCGGTCGTTTGGAAGAAAGGAAGCGTTTACATCCTTGCTTTCCAATTTCACTTTCTAAACATGGTCCGGTGTCTGCCCTTTCTCCATCCGGGGTGCTTATTATTTAATGTGAAGCATTTGGGGGAATGTGTGTCGGTCCCTCCATTTCCCGTCCCATATACACTAACCTGTCATCTCCGCCTTGCCTGCAGCAGGGTGAGGAGGAAAGCGTGGCGAACGGGCTGACAGGGGGATCTGAATGCTGACCTTAGCCTTGCTGGCGGACCTCATGCGAGCACTTAACCTCTCCGTGTAAATGCTGACACCTGTAAAATATGGGGTCAACTGATGATGTATTAGGGCTCCGCCAGCCCTGGCATTGTATAATTCAATGGCCGGCTCCGAAGACAGCCAATAAATGAACGTTGGGCTAACAGACCAGCAAGCTACTGCTTGTCGCTTGCAGCCCCGCGTCCCTATTAGGGGGGCTGATCCATGATGAAATGGTGGGCTGCCGGGGCTTGTACAGCCGCTGTGGACTGCGAGAAACCAAATAAATTGGAGGGTGGCCCCGACAAGGCTGAAAGAAGTCAGGGTTCTCCAGAGGAATGGAACCAATAGGAAATAGGATTATCTGGATGGGGTTACTTGCTTGGCTTACCCAATTAGAGCCCCAAGAGTCCCACCGAAGCTGCCTGCCGAAGAAGTGGGTAAGCTGCTCAGGCCAAGAAGCTGCTGCCCCAGAGACAGAGAAACCAATGGTAGAGACTCCATCTGAGGCCACACACTTGAACGCTGCCCTGGAGAGCTGCTGGTTCGAGTCCGCAGGCAAACACTGAAGAAGCCGGCATCCACAGCAACAGCAGAAGACCATGCACCAGCCCCCTCCTGCTTTAAGACTTTTATTTATTTATTTATTTATTTATTTATTTATTTATTTATTTATTTATTTATGTAAAAGAGAGAGAGTTATGTGTGTGTGTGTGTGTGTGTG